GTTGTGCTTTTGTGGAAACTGGACATTGACCATGGAGCAGTAATTTAACAGAAGAAGAAGATAATACATAGCTTAAGATCAGAGAAGGTGCGATTCAAAGTCCTATTTTCACCATATCTATTAAATCTGTAGGTAGAACAAATAATCCAAAAAGTTGGACTAGTGAACAATTTGGCAAATAGATTGGAGAATGCCCGTTAGCAGCTTGGGATATGTAGATAATCTGGCCTGCCTTAAAGACATGAAGTACTTTTTTAAAAAAAAATTTTTTTGATGTATGTGTACCATAAATTGGATCTGACGGGTACAGGAGGAGATTGCTCCTCCTCCTCCAGCAGAGCATCTGGTGGATTCGAACCACGTACCTCTGCAATTGCAGTGCAGCTTCTTGCCACTAGGCCACCAGAGCACTCTGTGAAGCACTTTATAATGAAGGTTGAAGACTAACTATAGCCTTGTATAAATTATACCTGAACATTAAAAAAAATAAGAATACAGAAGTCCTCACAATTGGATCATAAACATGATCAGCAAAGAAGAAAATGAAGTTGTCAAGAATTTTACTTGGATCCACAGTCAGTGCCCATGCAAGCAGCAGTGAAGAAATAAAGCAGTGTTACTACATTTAGCAAATCCTCAAGGATTTTTTTCTAGTGCTCAAGAGTAAGGATGCCTTTGAGTTGTGTTGGTGAAGAATTTTGAATATGCAAGAGGCTGTCAAAAGAACGATCTCAGATGATGCGTAGCCAGCGTATTCCTTCGGAAGCCAAGGTGGATATTTTGTCTCATATGTATTGGATGTGTCTGGAGGAGCTAGTACCTGGAGGAAAAAACCATGCTTATTAAAGGGAGCCTCAACAAAAATGATTGATAATTGGCTTCAGTCGGCTTAAGCACAGCAGATTGTGACCATGGGTGTGTAGAATCGGTTTTCTTTCATTGTGCATAACTTAAATAATCTATTTGGATCCACAATCAACATCCATGGTACGAGTAGTCAGGAAATAACTTCATTAGCCAGCTTTGCAGTTAGGGGCTTCTCCCAAGTTACTGAGGAGCAATGATGTCAGTTTGAGGACTAAGATATGCCTGGTTCAGACCATGATCTTTTCAATTCAGTTACTTGAGACTGGAGTGTGAATAAAGATGACAAAAGAATTGATGCCTTTTGACTGTGGTGTTGGAGTACTGAATATCCAAAGGACTGCCAAAAGAACAAAAAGTCAAGTCTTGGAGTAGGTGCAGCCCGAGTGCTTCTTGGAGGCCTAGATGATAAAACTTCATCTCACATTGAACATGTCACTAGGAAAGTGACTAGTGGCAAGAAGCTGCACTAGGTTCGTTGGAGAAGGACATCCTGCTTGGAGAGGTAGATGTTGGTGAAAGAGAGGAAGACCCCCAACCAGATGGACTGATAAGGTGCTGCTGCAGTGGGCTTGAATGTGTCAGAGGTTGTGAGGATGGCACAGGATAGGACAGGGTTCAGATCTGTTGTTCACAGGGTTACTGTAAACTTGATGGCACTTAATGTAACATCTAGGAATAACAAATGTTTGTCTAACATTTGAATATATTTTGGTAACTCTAGAGTGCCTTAGGTATATTATTCAGCTAAGAAAAGTAGTGTTTTCTGGTGCGATAACCACCATAATGAATTTTCCACTTTACAGCATGTTCTGAGTGAAATGTGGAGGAAGTGTGTATAAAGAGAGCCTCCAAAGAACTGTGTATCTAGCATGTGAAATACTTGGACGCTTCTCTTTTATAGGTCAGTCTGAGCTAGGCTGACACCTGCCTGGTTTTCCTAGGTGTGTCTCACTGGTAGATTAGGACAGAAGAAAACCATGCTTTGAGATTAGAAGTCTATTAAGTTTTATGGTTTTTTTTTAAAAAATAAAGAAAATGCACTGACATGTAGACTTGGAAACAGTTGACATTCCGCAAATATGCCCAAGCCTGGTTTTCAGTTTGTTCCAGATTTTCCTGCTTTGCCTGCCAGTGTTCCTGGTTTCTTATACTTCAGAACCCTCTCCCTGCTGTCATTCCCTACGAGCATTTGTTATTGTCATTGTTAGGCGCTTGTCCAGTCAGCTCTGGCTCCCTGCTCGATGCCACGCCATCTTCATGATCTACACAGTACTTGTAAGTCCCTAGCAGCTGTTAACATGTTGATACAGTCCATGGTGTAGAGGTTCTTCCTCCCCGTCACTGGGCCTTTTCTTTCCAAGACACACTGTCCTCCATGGATTGGCCCAAAGTATGTGAAATGGAAGTCTCACCACTCTTGCTTCAAAGGAGCATTCTGGCTGCTTCTTTCAAGACATTTGCTTGTATTTGTGTTATACTAATTTATGCAATCTTCTCCCTCATCCCCCCAGTTTCAGTTTTTACTTTAAAAGGAAAGGTTCAGGAATATAAGGGCTCTAAAGTTGATTTCATTTTGAGAAGAAAAACTAGGTAAAGAAAATGGTTCCTATCCCTGTTTATTAACTTCTTAGGAGTTTGTGAGATTGTTTGTTTGTTTGGTTGGTTTGTGTTTGTTTGTTTTTAATTCACATACTCCAGAGCTGCTTCCTGAAATTCTCATTTAGTTGATGTTAATTGAGGCCTGGTAATCAGAAAATCAGAATGCACTTCTGAATTTCCCAAGTGGCTTTATGTGCAGCTACCGTTTAAGACTGTTCATGTGGGTCTGTTGGGCTAGGCTGTCTCCTCGGAATGTATACAGTTTCTCACTCATTTGCTCTGTCTTGTTTGTGTGGTTCAGCTTTGGTAAGAGGAACTGCAGTGGCCTTTGAGAGAAGAATAATACCCAGTTTTCAGATCTTTTCTCACCTTATTTATCTCCACTAGGTATTGGGCATTCACTTCCTGACATTGAAATTTTTCTCTCTAAACCAAGCATAACCTTGTTGGTCTTAAGTCTCTGGCTTTTTGGGCTACTATATTTATTATTTAAAGAATTTTTTTTTTGTTACCTCTGGTGTCCTTTTATGGTCTTGGGAAGCCATGGATTTACAAATTAGTATATTTTAAATATATAAAGGAAATGCATAGCATTGTAAAGAAATAATTATGTTGAAGTACAATGATAAAAATTATTTAAGATATATTCTTGCCATGATAAAGAATATTTTAAGATATCTGTAGAAACTACTGTAGTGTGATAATAACTGGGTTCAGTTGAAGGTCCTGATAACAGTCCTGTATTCCATGGTTTGTTGCTCTCATTTACCTTTGAAAACAATGCTAAATTTCCCTTAATTGTTTTATTTTAAATTTTATTTTATTAACTTTAATGAACATTTATGGAGATCTTGGATTTCCATTCATTCATTGTTGCACTTTTCTCCCTGCCCAGCCCTCCCTCTGCCCAGTTCGCTTCTCTCTTTGAAAAGCAAAAGAAAGATTCCTTCTTTGGTGTACAATCCCACTGCCTTGAGTACACTCCACTACACAACCTTCATTCTGGACGTTTGTGATAACACCTTATCATATATCACTTTTAAATTATTCTCTTCCTCATCTGTTTCAATGCCGTATACATAATTTATCTAGTTTTTCTCAGTCTTACCCCCAACCCCGATGTCAGTCCTGTTCTACAATAGTGACACCATGCAGTATTTGTCCTTTTATGACTGAGATACTTCACTCAGCATAATGTCCTCCAGGATCACCCATTTTGTATAATATTGCACGAGTTCCTTGTTTTTCAATGCAGCATAGTATTCATTGTGTGAACATACCACAGCTTCTTTACCCATTCGTTTGTTGATGGGCACTTAGGTTGTTTCCAACTCCTTGCTATTGT